CTATATTCTATATATTTTGGATGTGAAGAACGAGGCAAAGCATCAAGATCAAGGGGGATTATACAAGTTTATTGAAGAATATTCTTCCATTTTCAAGATTAAAATCGAGAAATTTGATTTCTCCACTTTCCTCATTATTTCTTCTTTTCAGGTGATGTTTTTCCAATATTTCTTGTATAATTTAATCATTAGAATGCTAGGGTAGGTTTTCTATTATATTGGATGAATGATGAACCTTATTGGCTGACGCAATTGGCAAATATGTCTCATAATATTTCTCTATAAATTGGATGCGTAAATAAAAAATTGATGAAGAAGAGAAGATAGAAGAAAAAGTGCGAGTAGCATTGCACAGAGAATTGAAGCGAGAGAAAATTAAGAGATTAAATCTACGTAGACAAATAACATACAGAGTGTATTGTTGTATTCATCTTCTTCTCTTCTTGATATAGTGAAAGATTGGTGTGAGTTTGAGAACGTAGGCACAATTGCCGAACCACGTAAATTCTTGTGTCGTACTTACACTTATTTTTTTATTTTTTATTTGTTTTCAATGGAAAGACCTAAGTGTAGAAACTTGAAAAAGACGTAAAAAATGTAAAATTAAAAATTTAAAGACTTATAGTATTCCATTCTTATTGATTAATTTAGTTACAGGGAAGATAGGCCTTGTCATGGTGTCAATTCTTATGAGTACAATTTGGACAATAAGAACTACATGAAGTTTTGGGACTCATATTACAAAAGCATGCTTATGTGTCTCTAAGAAAACCAATTCACATGTTCAGAAAAATAGAAGCAGGGTGTGAGGGTACGTGGCATTTTTTTGAAGAGGCCTCTTGAGGAAGTTTTTTCCTAACGTGATTTCTGACATTTTGATGTTGTTAGTTTTTTGTTTCAAGTTGTATAATAAAATCTGAATAGAGTTGTTCTTTGGACGCTTGGGTTTCAATCATGATTTGTTGGTTGTTGCAATTTCTAGGGACTTTAGGACGAATAGTGGTGCTCCTATATTGATAAATTCGCATCTCTCATAATTTATGGAATCAGATTAGTCCGATCTGGTATATTGGTTTATCTCAATTTAAATTTCAGCATTAGCACGTCATCGTGTGGGGGTGACATTAGGTTTGTTGCCGTGAAGGTATAACATTGCTTGTGCTAGAAATTTATAAGTTATTTGCCATATTTGAAGTGTTGTGTTTAGATTGCAAGTTAGTAGTTAATTTTGTGCTTTAACTGCATTGCATGAAAATTTGAACTTTTGTTTACATACATTCATGTTGCATTGATTATCCTGTTAGAATTTCGAACGTGACCCATTTAACATTTCCCTTATCTAAGATCTTGAATCTTACGAAACTCTGAGAATCTAGAATGGTATATATTACGATCTTAGGATTACTTTGTGTGACCTATTTGTGCATTTGGCCGTTCCGTTCTTCCCGAAATGTCTTCATAATTTAAAGTTGGAATTTTTAATAGGAAAGGGGATTTTTTTAATTTGATAACAAAAGATGAAGGGTATTTTAGTCCAATAAAAAGTTTCAAAAGCTATAGATGGCAAATTTCCTTCAAACTTAACAAAAGTACAAAAGGAAGAGTATGATGAACGTGCATACACTTCAATTATTTTACACCCGTCAGATACTGTTTTGAGAAAAGTTGGAAAATTCGATTCTACCAAAGAACTTTGAAAAAAGTTGGAGGACTTATATTTGCTTAAGTCCACTCCTAATAAATTGTACTTGGTTGAAAGATTTTTCAGCTTTAAAATGAATCATTCAAAGGATCTTGACGACAATCTGAATTTCTTTAACAAATTAGTTCAAGACATTGTTAATAGTGATGGAAAAGGTCTCTGAATGTATAAGGTTTTTATCTTGCTTAATTCTATGCCTAATTCATATAGAGACGTAAAGAATACAATTAAGTATATTAGGGACACCTTAACACCCGAGGTTGTCATAGACGCACTTATGAGTAAGGGGATGGAGATTAAGGCTGAAAAAGAGAATAAGAGGAGTGGCGAGTTACATATGATGAGGAGTAGGATGAAGTTTAAGCAAACAAATTTGGGTAGAACTCAAGACGATAGTGATTCGAGTAGTAACTTGGGTGATGAAGGTAGTAAGAAGAAGGACAAGGGACGGGACAAGTCTAGTGGTAGATGGTATTATAGTTGTGGTAAGTCTAGACACTTTATTAGGGACTGTCCTAAGAAGAAAGATAAGCTAAAGGGTAAAATGAGAGGTGAGACAATTTGGCTTTAGGGTTGAGTGATGACCCTAGTGATATTTATTGAGAGTAAACCTAGTTACTGATTTGCATCTGTGTATGATCCTTTCTGGATGTGTGTAACTACCTAATTTGTTGCAGGTGATATGATGCATTTCGATGTGTTTGATATGTGTATTTACATGAATTTTGAGTCAATATGATTACCTGGTGTGATTGTTTGCATGCATAGTGGGTTAGGATGTATTAGCAGTGTATTAGATGTCTTTTGGCGAGGTGGAGCATAGATGCCTAAGGGTACATTGTGGTTTGTACCAGGAATGTGGAGTGTGACATTTTGATGGCGAGTAGAGACGTGATTAAATGTCTAGAAGTCTCTATCTATAAAGAGACCCTGATCAGGTGGAGCGTGAGAGAGACACTTCTATCATTTCGATTAGATGGAGACCAATTATCCATGTAGGTTGGGAGAAGTGATGTGGTGTAAAGGATTATCCCAAGGACTTAGGATCTATTGTGGCTTACTAGTTAGAAATGAGTTGAATGATCAGTCTAGTGAGCATTGTGGGCGATGAAAGGAGATATGTGTTCTTGAGGTGTGAGCAACACGGAATGGGATATGATAAGTGTGGTGAGATCTTTTCGTAGGGTCATTTATGCATTTGTTGCATATGTGGTTGACCATTTGGTGTTAATCAGTGGTTCTATGTGAACGTGTTTCTAAAAAGATCTATGGGTGTCATCCAATAATATATCGTCATCGCATATATATTGGCTCTTGATTATTTACTGTTGAATATTTGCTTCTACTTGGGTGTTCTTGATCTTAGCTTCGATGAGTACACGGAGCAGGTATGGTATGTGTTTTAGGTTAGAAACATGAGGTAAGGTCTGTGATCCAATTCTATTAGCTACTCTGGTTATGCAAGTGCCAACTGTGTGTTTTGATTGCATGTGAATTCATTGGGCATCAAGATGGAGGTTCGTTGGATTTTTTGATATCCAATAAATCTCAGACTATGATGTTAACGTGGGTTAATGTATTTCATAGGCATAGGCTGATGAATGAAATAAGTCCAACAACCAAAATCATGAGTTCTACCCGATCGAATTGTATTCCCTCTTGGATGGCTTGAATCTTGGCACATTCCTTTCTTTTTGATCCAATGAAAAGTCTAGCCTTAGAGTATATATAAGACTACGACCCTAGCTATTTTCTAGTGTGATTTGTGAGAAAATAAGTGAAAATTCGGTTGCCCCTTTGGTGTGTCAAAAGCAGCCCCTTTGAAGTGACAAAATTGGTTGATAACTTTGTGTAATTGGTGGTTCATTTATAGCCTACCTTTGTGGCCACAAATCATCATCGTTTCTTGTCCTTTACGGGTAAGATTGAATAGAAACCGAAGTGAATTATATTGGTTGTGAATCGGAGCCGATTGGTTTGATTGTTAGTAGAGAAAGGTACGTTAGTAAGAGCCCGAAAAACACCGAATTGAAGATCCTTAGAGAGAGTTTTGGCAACATGCAGAATGAATTTTCCTTCATTTCCCCTAAAGTTACAAGAAATGAATTCCTTGTATTTCATGAAATGCTTTTTCCTTTTTAACCTCTTTGCCACACAAAAATATCGTTACTTTGATTTTTGTTTATTGTTGTAATTGTCTTCCTACTTATTGTTGTCAAAATTATTTTTGGATATGGTACATAAGTAACATAATGATGGGTAAAGTGTTGAATCCACGAGTACTAGTTATTTACACATTTACTTTTATTAAAATAGCCTTATTTATAGAACATAAAATTTTTATTCTTTTGAGATTGATTTTGGTTTTATCTTTTATCTACAAGAAATAAACAAACAATTATTGAAAGGAAAATATTCTGCTGAATGTAATTATGGACTTGATAAAAATGTAGATATCAGTGAACAGCCAAAAATTACGAAATTATAATAGTGATGGAAGGAAAAATATAAGTGCTAAAAGTTTGTTCACTTCGATATGTTTTTCCTCCATTTCTAGGCATGGGAATAATTTTACCTTTTTATGTTTCTTTTCAAGCTTTTGTAGTCTTTTAGGTTTAATAAAAATCCAAAACGTTACATCGACCATCAACAGCATTTTTTGTAGTCATAAACACTTTTAATTTTCTTAAATACATACTCGAACTTTAAATATATTTCTCATCCATATCTAATTTAACTAGACATTTCTTATTGGTATCCGAACTTTCATTTTTTATAATCCACACCCGACTTCTAAATATGTGCCCCATCCATACCTAATTTAACTGACCACTTCAATCCTCCATGAAAATCGATAGTGTTAACTTCTTTAGCAACATAATGAATGATATTACCTCAAATTCTATGCATCACGCTCTTTGTTCCACAATTCCAATCCCACCCTAATCCATTGGTATTAATAATATTGCACTAAATCATTCTTTTTTCCAAAATCAATGCTATCTTCACTCAAAATGTCAGTTGTATATTGCCTTGTATCCTCTCATCCTCTTTCAACACCGATTAATCTCGAGCTTCATTTATTGATTGAGAGAAAAGTAGTAATTAGCTACTTTTTTTTACGTTTCTAGGACTTCTTTGTTCGAATAGGGACTCATGGTTTCAATGTAAACTTGGTTATTTTTTATTAAATAATATACTTGGACCTTTTTGAACAAATTATTCGTTACTTCTCGATTATCGTGCACGAAACAATGAATTGTGTTCACGTACTATTATTCTTTCTAACTTGTGACTGCATCACAAATGAAAACCAATAATTACATTGAACACAAATATCTTTAATGCATAGCGAAAATAGAATTTTTCAAAAGTTATGTGGTTTAGTAATGCCTTGAAATATCATGGAGTACTCAGTGTAACAAATAAGAGTAGCTCTCGAGTGTAACTATCTTCCATCGATTGCAGACATCGAGAGTCCATTAGCTGAAAACTTTTCGGACTTGCCATTTTCAAGTTCATAAACTGTACTATTTCTGGTGACAAATGCTGGACAGTTTGGCATTGGCAAAGGCATCATTTCATTTTTTAACAAGGATATAACATCCTCAATTGTAGGGCGATCAGTTGCATGATTTTCCAAGCATAAAAGACCAACATGAATGCATCTTTTCAATTGATCAATACGACTGCGTGAACATTTCAGCATCGGATCCATGATCTCGATTGCAGCATTGTTACTCCAAAGTTCCCAAGCCTATAATAATTTTACACTAAATCAAAGTACAAAGAAAATTTGAAATGAGATGAATCTAAAAATTGATTATAAGTTAACTTACATATTCTACTAGATTGAGAGGACCTTCTTCATTTTGGAAGCTATTGTTTTTTCGACCACTCACAATCTCAAGTACTAAAACTCCAAAACTATAGACATCTGATTTGATAGAGTAAATACCCTGCATCGCATACTCAGGAGCCATATAACCACTGTGAAATCAAGATAGCATTAATTCGCTAGTAATGAGTCGTGAGCATAAATAATATATACATTATTAGCAGACAATATGAAAAAGAAATATTCTTCATTACTTACTATGTTCCAGCACACTTATTTGTATTTGCTTCTATCAGATTCTGCTTGAAGATTTTTGCAATTCCAAAATCAGATATTTTGGGGTTCATTTCCTCATCAAGTAATATGTTACTGGCTTTCAAATCCCTGTGAATTATCCGTATTCGCGAGTATTTGTGAAGATAGAGTAATCCTTGAGCAATCCCTTCAATGATGGTGAAACGTGTATCCCAGATTAAGAGCTCCCTCTTAGCTGGACATGTCATGTACAATATTTGTTTAGTATCTCATTTTATTGAGGCTTATACCTTGACTTAGTGAGGCTTACACGTCAAACCAACTAAAGTGTTCGCATGTTTGCCTTGCATTTTTCAAATAAACTTAAAGAAGATGATGATCACATTATTAGTGATCATATAAAAAATTAGGAGTCATAATTTTGTTACATGATTACTAATTTGAGGATTTATTATCTTCTATTTTCTTGATTTATTTTATGTTCGTTGCAAGTTAGACTTTTAATTTTGTTAATTAGTTTTATGATCAATTTTTGAAAGGGACGTTCATAATTTATTATGAACACATTTTTATATTCTTTTGAATTCTTTTATTGTTTTATGTTGAGGCTCACGCATCAAAGTGCCTCGAGGATTAGTCTTTCTTCATGTAGATAAAACATCTGAGTACCTAATAAGTCTTTTTAAACATTGCTATAAGTATATATATTTGAACTAATAAGATGTAAAAATTAATTAATCTAAACAAATAAA